GAGAGAAAGAAACATTATGTTACCAATTTTTCTTTTACATGAGAGTAAAAGCTCAAGCCAGTAACCAAATTCTCCAAAAGCATATCTCAGAACTCAGAAGGCAAAAACTTACAAAATGCAGCAATCAGTCTTGAACGCGCAAACAATCTCCATAGAGGTAGTATGGGTTTTTTTTCACTCTCTCACTCTCTCACTCTCTCAAGCCTACTGATTCTGATTCTTATAATTCCAGTCGCTTCTCTATCCACCGAAGGAGAAGAAGACGGTGGAAGATTCTGTGTATTGAATGTACTGATTAACCGGAAAAGAGAGAAAACGACGGAGGAGAGAAGAACAGCTTAACAATCGTATAAATGTTTGTTACAAAGCTTAAACAGTAAAGTAACGTATACTCAAGCTTTATATGAGCTTGGTTACGACATTAAACCGGAAATCAATTCTAATTTCTATTAACCAAAGTTAACCAAGATTTAACCTCTAACATCCCCCCCTCAAATCTTTATCTGTGAAGTATATGGAAGATAAAGATTTGATATAGACATTTTGGATAGAAGATGATGAAAAGGGCCTGGTTGTAGTGGCTTGGTCAATATATCAGCATGTTGTTCTGTTGTAGGAACATGCAATGCTTTCAAATTTCCAGCCTTAATCTGATCCCTCACCGTGTGACAATCAATCTCAATGTGTTTCGTTCTTTCATGAAACACAGGATTCATCGAGATATGTATTGCTGACTTACTATCACAAAAAAGCTTGGCTGGACAAGTGACAGTTACTCGAAGATCCTTCAGAAGTTGTTGAAGCCATATGATCTCACAAGTTGCTTGAGCCATACTTCTGTACTCAGATTCTGTGCTACTTCGACTTGCAACAGCTTGTTTCTTTGATTTCCAACTAATCAAAGATGAACCTAAGTAGATGCAGAATCCTGTGATTGACCTTCTTGTTTCTTTACATGTTGCCCAATCTGCATCAGAGAAAGCGTTGAAGCATAGTTCTGAATCTGCAGAGTACATCAGGCCTTGTCCTGGATTAGCTTTGATGTATCTCAAAACCTTATATGCTGCCTGTAAGTGTAAATCAGTTGGAGCTGAAATAAACTGACTTAGTTGATGAACAGCAAAGGTTATGTCAGGCCTGGTTATTGTCAGATATAATAAGCGACCAATTAGCTCTCTGTAAGGAGTAGGACTGGAAAGTAAAGTTCCCATATCCCTTGTCAAATGTGTATTCGGATCCATAGGAACAGAGCTTGGCTTACAATCCAGCATCCCTGCATCTGTGAGCAAGTTTTGAGCATACTTCCTTTGGCAAACAGATATACCCTTAGATGATCTTGAAATTTCCAGACCAAGAAAGAATCTTGCAGGTCCTAAGTCTTTGATTTTGAACTCCGACTTCAACAATCCTTTCAAACACTCCACTGCATCATCATTATTGCTTGCTATCATAATATCATCCACATATACTAGCACAGCAACAAAAGAATCATTTGCCACTTTGACAAATAGAGTGTTGTCAGCAGGGGATTGTATATAATTGGCTCCCAATAAAACAGAAGACAACCTCTTATACCATTGCCTTGATGCCTGCTTTAAGCCATATATTGATTTGCGCAATCTGCAAACTGGTTGTGAAGGTAGAACAGCATTTGCAGGAGGTGTATATCCTTGAGGTAGACTCATGTATATTTCTTCATCCAATTCCCCATGAAGAAATGCATTTGAAACATCCATCTGAGTCAAACTCCAACCTTGAATAGCAGCAAGACCAAGAAGAAACTTCACACTAGTTAGTTTAGCTACAGGTGAAAAAGTGTCTAAGTAGTCTATCCCTTCTTGTTGTGTAAACCCTTGAGCTACGAGTCTTGCCTTATATCTCTCCACTGTACCATCTGCATTGTATTTTATTGTGAACACCCACTTACATCCTACAACATTTTTACCTTCAGGTAGGCTTTCAATATCCCAAGTTCCATTAAGCTCCATAGCATGTAGCTCTTCCTCTGCTGCTTTTATCCATTTGTCTGATTTCATAGCCTGTGCAAACGTCTTTGGTTCTGTTTCCATATTATATGCACATATATAGGATTGAAAAAGAGGGGTATAGCTATCATAAGATATAACTGAGGAGATAGGATAGGGAGTTGTTCTTTTGTGTAATGGAACTGGTATATTTGTAGGTGGTAAAGAAGATGAAAAAGGAACAAGAGAACAATGATACTCGGATAAATAACTAGGAGCTTTAGAATTGCGTTTAGGCCTAGTTATATTCACAGCATTAGAGTCTATCTCATTATTCTCAGCAGTCCTAGTCGTACTAGTGCTAGCATTAGAAGTATCAGGTAAAGGAAAAGTAGTTATATCAGTAGGCATTAGTGAATCTTCATCAATCAAAGGCATAGATTCAACATAATGCAAAGGAACAGGTAAAGGTAAAATGGAATTAGGAAACATATCTACAGATTTAGAAAGTAATTCATCAGTTTTAAATGGAAATCGATTTTCATGAAACACAACATTCCTGGAAATAGAGACTGAATTTGATTCTATATCTAAGACCTTATATCCTTTATATCCTACTGGATAACCTAAGAAAACACATGGCTTAGCTCTTGGTGAGAATTTATGCCTATCATGAGTGTGAGTAGAAACATAACACAGACAACCAAAACTTTTTAACAATGAATAATCTGGTGTCTTCTTTAACAACATTTCAAAAGGCGATTTATTATTCAGTAATGGTGATGGTAATCTATTGATTAAGAAAGCAGCAGTCAAGATACAATCACTCCAATACTGCAGAGGTATATTAGACTGAAAAAGTAAAGACCTTGCAACATTTAAAAGATGCTGATGCTTCCTTTCTACTACAGAATTTTGTTGTGGAGTATATGCACATGAGAAATAATGCATCATTCCATGTTCTTTTATTAAATCTGAGAAGGCTAATTCAGGAGCATTATCAGATCGTATTGCTTTAATTTTGAAACCATATTGTGTATGAACATGTTTTAGAAAAATCGGAAATACAACTTGAACATCCTTTTTATTTCTCAGCATATAAACCCATGTTGTTCGAGTACAATCATCAACCAAAGTAAGAAAATACCTAAAGCCTTCTATAGATTCTACACTAAAAGGACCCCATACATCAAGATGGACTAAATCAAAAGGATTATCAGCTAAGTTGTTATGACTAACATAAGCTAACCTTCTCTGTTTAGCTAAAGGACATATAGAACAATGAGGACTAGTATTGGATATAGACATTAAAGGAGATAGAATACTAACTAATTTCTGTAAAGCAACATGAGAAGGGTGACCCAATCGCTGATGCCAAAGATCTTCATCAGATATCACAGAACCAAGAAAAGAACATGCTGCAGGTTTTGATGTAGAGAGGGATGATTTCTCATTGTCAAGAATGTATAGGTTGTGATAAATGTTACCCCTCCCAATCATCAAGCCCTGAGAAAGTTCCTGAATCAAACAACAAGAAGGAAAGAAATGAGCAGAACAGTTTAAAAGTTTAACTAAACAACTAACACTAATCAGATTGAATTTGAAATCAGGAACATGTAAAACATTGTGTAAAACTAATCGAGAAGTAATTTGAACTGTGCCTATATGTGTAATTAAAACTCTAGAAGCATTTGGTAAAGTTACTGTGACATCAGAAACAGGCTTTAAGTCTCTAAACATAGCTAGATCTGAACACACATGACTAGAAGCTCCACTATCTATTATCCAAGCATCAGAAGGTAAGAAAGTTTGAAGTGATGATAGAATATGATTTTGAAAAGTGAGATTACTATTCTCATACTTAAGACTGGTAGAAGGGAAAGGAATAACAGTACCAGAAGACGATTTTGCAGCCATAAAACCTAGATCAGAAATTGTAGCCATAGCACTAGGCATGTTAGTACCAGAAGAAGAAGCTGCAGGCTCTGAAACTTGTACTTGTACTTGTGCTTGTGCTTGAAACTGAGAAACCATCTGTTCTAACTGTTGTGGAGTATAGTCATTAAGATTCACACTAGTTCCACCATTATTAGCATATGACACATACTGAGGGACAGGTCCATAAGGCATATTATCAGTCGGATAATATCCAGTTTCAGAATATACTTGTGCCACTGCATTTGCTCTCTGCATAGGTGCCGCATAAGGAGATTGTGCTTGAGGCATCCGAGGCTGATTTTGCATAGTAGGCATTCGAGGTTGAAACTGAGTTGGAGGCCTGTAGTTGTATCCCATAGCATTAGTCTTATAGCCAGGTGGAAAACCATGAAGCTTGTAGCACTTCTGGACAGTATGACCCATCTTCCCACAATGAGTACATACTGGTTTCTGTGTTGTTCTTGCAGTATTATAAGCTGCAATATATGCACTCTCTGCATCATTCACCACAGGAGCAACATTCTGAAAAGCAACATTGTCAATTTTAGAAGATGGCTTGACAACTTTCTGTCTTTCATCTTGAATCACCATATTAAAAGCTTCTTCAATAGTGGGAATAGGTTTTAACATCAAGATATGGCGTCGGGTCTGATCATATCCCTCATTCAATCCCATAAGAAACTTCGTTACCCGACTTCTCTGTTGTAACCTTTCCCATTTGGTAGCAGCATCACACTCACAACGAC